GCATTTTAGCTCCCATACCAGTCCATCAATGCACAGCTAAAACTGATGTTTTCAGAGGTTGCCTAGTTTATTGGAAAAAATTACTACTCATTACCAACCAGAATGCAGAAACACTGTGAATCAGAGATACTTCAGCTCTAACAGTCTTAAGAGCAGACTTAGGCTACTTTACACAAAAACTTCAGAGGCAGATAAAGTGTGCACTTACTTCATTGTATTCTAGGGAATCCAGTATATTCAGGTATGCTTTGAAAATGGAAGAAACGACATTGGAGTAAATTAGTGCCCAGGGGGTGGTGGTGGTATCATTGTTATGAGGTGTCTTTGATTAGGAAATAAAAAACTGTGTTTGTGCATTCAACCTTTCCTGAATCTGATCGTAAAAGGTGCATATAGGTAGGCAAAGATAATTTGAAATTTTATTTTCCTGAGAAATAGAATTTTGATTTAAAATTTCGAACAAATTTAAATTTGGATCCTGTAAGCTGATGATCAGCAGTAAGCTGCTTCTCTGGATTGCAATGCTAATGGAGAGCATTCTCTTTCTCAAAATTAATGATTGTTATACATTTCCTTAAATTTGCTGTCTACCCCTACAGCAGATTTTCTTAATATACCAGTTCAAGAGAGAGGTTTTTGTTAGTACTGGAAGCCTGTTACTTCAACACATCCATAGTGTGTGTGTGTCTCAACATGAGTCAACAAGATTCTATGGATACTCAAAATATTTTGAAACCATATGAACAGAATGTGTATTTTCCTCTGACTAGTAAAAATCAGTCATAAAGTCTTCATAGACTTATAATATGTAGAATCCAACCAGCTTGGCAAATAAATTGTTTGTTAAAACAAGTTCTGACTATGTCTCCAAGCTGCATTTAGAGAAAATAGCATTTTGTTCATGCCAGGTACTGGACTGTCTGCTGGAGACTCAGGTTTTCTATTCAAGCAGGTTGGAGCAGATTTTTGGCATGACCAATGACCTTCCTAGGGAAGAATGTTAGTAGAAAATTTGTTCTTTGTACACATTTTATGGGATGAGGAGAGAGGTAATTTTATATTGCCAGTTAGGTAGTGTATGATGTCCCAAAGGAAGAAAAAAATTCATTGCTTTTTTTGAAGAATTAGTTGTTCAGTGGAAGAGGAATAATCTGAGGTTTAGTCTTTGTTTAATGGATTTATTGTTATTCTAGGTTCCTCGGATACTGATTATGAGGCTAAATATAAAAGTGTTGTCTTTTTAGGAAGGGAACTTGATCTGGAGATCTGTGCTAGGATTTATGAGTGCTTTTTTTCAGTAATGTTTGCCTGAATCCAGATTAGTTGTATTAATAATTAGGAATTGTTTCCATCTTAATAGTGATGTGAAAAGTTTACTCCATGGCTCATTTGCCACTTGTTAGTTATGCTTCTAAATTGCACAGAAGTATCTTGATTTGTCTTACTGGTTAGTGTTGTGGTGGTTTAACACCAGATAGAAATTAAACTGCAAATAAGCCTCTCCCCTTTCTCCTTTCTCCCTTCCCCCTCTAGTGAGAGAGGAACAAGGTCCAAGATGTGGGTTGAGATAGCAATTTACTGAAAGCAAACAGCAATGGAATAAGAAATGCGCAGTAAAAGCAGCAATATTAGCAACAAAGGTTTAAAAAAAAAAAAAAAAGGTGCTTTACATACAAAAAGTGTTCACCACCTCACCTTAGTTCTGGTTTGCCCAGACAAAGACAAGATGGTGAGAGCTCCCTCAGTTAGTGTTCCCTAGCTCCGAGACAATGGAGAGCAGTGATGGACAACCCCCTGAAAGCCAGGTCACATTATGCCATGCCACCTGTTTCTGGACAGTTCTGCTGGGACTCTGTTCCATATGGCACTATGGCTTTTGACCAGTCCCTGCCTTTGGGGCTTGGTTTGGGCTGAGCTCCTCTTGTCCTGGTTTTGCTGCCACTTCATTCCCCAGGGCCACTTCCTGCACTGGCACCTGCTGAGGTTTGGCTCTGTGCCAGCTTCAGCTTTTGCCAGTGTGGTGGTTTGACCAGGAAGGAGTGGGAATTCTGGGATGCTGTGGTCAAACCAATGGGTGTTTGGAGTTTGATACTGACACCTGGTGTAGCCAGTGGGGTTTGGACACACCTCCGAGAATACAGAGGGGTTAAAAAGCAGGGCTCTGCCCCTGGCAGGCTCTCTTGGGACGTCGCGGCGAAGAGGTCAGATCACCCTCTCCTGTCCAGCCTTGCTGCTGGGCGGGGGAGGGGCAGCCACGTGGTAGGCCCTGGGCCTGGACAGAGATGGGAGGTGAGGAGGC